AGACAACCATGACAACAAGAATCACGTCAAAAAAATGCGAAAAGATTCACAAAGACATCTTTCGTGGCTATTTCTGGTTAAAATAGTTAAGAATCCGTTGAATTAGTATTTTATGTAAGGGTAGAAGATTTCATGTAAGTAAAAAAAAAAAGCAAAGTCAGAGTAAATTATCGTTAGGACTGTTCCAATCTTTGGAGCCGAGTGAAAAGGCACCGCTATAGTACTTACCAGTAAGACAACCCATATCGTGTAATACACAAAAATTACAGCACTAACTAACATCATCCCATAGCCAGCAGCACGATCCGTTCCTGTAGCCTGCAATGCAAATAGTAAAGTCAGGAGAGGTTCCATGTCTCTGTGGCACGAGCCCGGAGGTGCACATATACTCATGTACTGAAACAATCGAAGCCTTTACAGCTCGGGAAAAACGAGCGATCGAGAGAAAATGTCAGTGGAAGACACATCAAGACCATAATGAATCCTTAAACAGAAAGCTTACCATTTTATATGGGAAAAATAACCTAGAACTATCAAGATGAACTAAAAGGCAGACAGAAAACGCTGTGAGAAGTTGAATCATCAAAATAATTGGTCAGCGGAGTGACGACCGGAAGTTGAATTACGACTAGTCAAGGAAACAAAGTTCACTTAGCTAACTTTTGTGAAAATGTCAAAGTTAACAAAGGGTTTTGTCAAACTTGTAAACAGGCTGATAATTAATTCTAACAAGAATATTCCCGTCGCATGAGTGAGGTAGTCGTGTCCTTCACCATGGAAGAAACCATGCTTTCATCTCTAACTACTCACAATCTTGTGTTAGCCGCGGTAACGGTAACGAATCCTTATCTAAGAAATTTAAAATTGTTTCAAGATTACAGAACCGTTTGTTTTCAAAATGAAGCTGCTAATTCTTTGCCTTTTGGTGTTCACCTCTGTGTGCTTCGTTTTCGGTGACGAAGAAGAAATCAAACCGAATTTTGTCGACTTGGATGAGAACGATGATCAAGTATCCGATGAATCACCAGAAGAGTTCAAGGACGAAGGAGACAACGTAAGTAAATTTGAGTTACTTTTGTCAGGACGCGGCTAAATCTGTCGTCAAGTAACATCTGTTATTTATTATTGGATTGTTTATCTCAACTTTTATCTTTTGTCAAAGATATCACCAAATTTTGACTTAATCGTGAGTTGCGTATCAAAAGATCGAAAAGAACAGACCAAGAATACACCGTGTTCGGTTCTTTCAAATAATGATTCACCACTTTGGCGCAATGGTCATTATTTCATTTGGCAACTTTGAATATTTGAGTTCACCGCGATCTAAATTCCATAGTTACTTGAAATATTCAATTTTGTTTTGGAGAGGTTTTTCATTTGTAAAATAAGAGAAAGTAAAGCCCCTTCTATTCTAGCTCTCATTATCTTGAAATAATTATGTGCCTTTGTTCTATTTCCTTTTAAAGCAGTATATGTTGGATGAAGAAGACCTCGATGAAGTAAGTACAAACTATAAATCTGTTCAGCACCACAAAAATCGCTCACGGATTCGTGAATTTCTTCCAGTAAACGAGAGCATCGCCTCAGAAAACTTCACCACGCACAAAATTAAATCTCAGGAAAAATGAGAAAAAAAACAAAATGTCTGTTCTAAGTTGTTGCCAAAACTCATCGAATAAGTGAGTCACCAAGAAAAAATATTTTTAGTTGGAGATTTCATATATTTGGTTTATTTAGTTCAAGAAGTTTCCATAGCTAAAACCTTAGAATGCTTTAGAAAAAGCGCAAAGTTCTGAGGATTCAAAAACGGTCAAAGTGTAACAGAGCATTGGAAGGAAATTCCTAAATTTTTTCTGTTTGAGACCAAAATGCGTAGATCACGGGTATCCTCGACAAATAAACTCATCCCGCAATCGTCTCAGCGAGAAAAAATCACTCTCCCATTCCGGGAAATGGTAAAAATAACCAAAAGAAAAAACGAACTGATCCTATCCGAAATCTCTGTTGCTGAGTATGCCATTTGGAAGAAATCATATTTCTCGAGTCAGCGTAAATAGTTTGTGAGCCATTTTTAGATTCAATGAAAAAAATTTTTTTTGCAACAGGAAGATGACAGTGAACCCGGGGATCCTGATGGCTTTAAGGTAATTATCATGTTTTTGTTGTTCTTCTTCCAGCAGGATACCAAAGCTTTTCATGTCAGATTTCTGTTTTGTCTGTTTTAAATGTAGGACGATGATAATGATCCAAATTCAACAAAAGCTAAAGGAAGAAAACCCGACGTCAAAGCTAAAGTTAGTACAATTGCATTACCGATATGTTTTTGGAATGTTTCGCTTGACCGTTAAAATCATCTTATTCAAGTTTTTCATTATTTCAACGGTAGTTTTGTTTGAAGAAATTTCGAAAAACTCTGGGAGGAACGAGAAAAGAAGATAAACAATCTACAGGCCCCCCTCCTCCTCACCTCTCACATACATCAATCTGCATAACGAGTTGTAACTTGCTAAGGAAAACTGTTATGTCATTGACGGTAAAATGTCCACGTTCATCCACTGGATTGGTTAACGGGAATATCACGTGAGAACTGCCTGAAATACTAATTCTATCTCGAACAGGGCTGTCCATGAATATAACTCTGACTTTTTTTTTTTTCAAAAAGTCTTGATCGACGATTTAGCGTCATACTGGCCATACACTTCATGTTCAGCAATCTTCTGTTTTTCGTAAAAAGATAGGTAATAAAGAATGTGAAATGAATTGGCTTTTTAGATCGATGAAATAGGAAAACCAGGAACTGGGGAACCCACAGGCAGTGGCGAGCCAGGGTCAAATATGAAGGAAAATCAGAGCGCTGAGGGAAAGCAAGTAAAGGCGGAATTTTTTTTTCTCTTCAACCGTGTCGCTCTTACAAAGAAATCTTTAAATGTGTCAAAGTTTCCATTTCGAAAAAAAGTATTAAGAAATGATACTTACACCTCTTCTAGATAAGAGACTGATTTATGAACTGTTGTACTAAACAGATAAAATATACAACTGAATAAAATTTTTATTATACATGACAGTTTACCTTTTGAGCCTCAGACGTGATTCGCATCTTAATGCTCTCTACGATATCAAAACATCACTCAATAAATAACAATGAGAATAGAAAAATTGATCATTTGGAGTCGGATTTTTTTTTCTTAAAATAACGCCACAATACCTAGTTTCTAAATGATTTTAAAGCCGCGACAAGTTAAAATTTAAAATAAAATCTTAAGTGTTGAAAGTTTAGTTGCCCTAACTTACTAGCCAGTGGTGTACTAAAAAAAATTTATGCGCCAAATTGCCATGTATCTGAGGTTTTACACTCAGTCTTTCCTACAATTTTCTTTAACAGGACGAGAACCTGAAAGACGCTGTGGAGGACAAGCTGGGATTGAACTCCGCAGGAGAGTCGGATGACCCAGACTTCGTCACCAAGAAATAACTCCAAATGTGGCCTCCACTGCCAAAAATAATACCACTGGCGATCAAGAGGCATAACTTATACTTTTATGGTGCACAGATATACGTTTTGTTACAATTTTTGCTCAAAATTAAGGGGAATTTTTTTTAAGAAGTAACTGAGGTTTTTGGTTTACTTTTTTTTTACAGTTTTGCTTTTAACAGACAAACATATACATTCCTATTTTTGTTTCATTTGCTGCAAGAGTTTACTTGTCAATTGATTTTTAAATTTTAAAATTTATTAAAGAGTGTTGCACCCCTATACAAAGTATGCGTTCTAAGTTTTGCTTGATAGCTTTAATCTTACAAAAAATTAAGGGAAGAGATAGCCATTGGCACTCTAGCTTTTGCGACCAAAGAAGGGAACCGAAGTAACTATGGTGCAAACTTTTGAAACAGTCTAAGGTAACTTTTATAACATGAAGAACTTCAACTGAAGGAATGATAAGTGCAGCCCAAATGAAAATTGAAGAGCCAGCGAAAATTTTTCCGGCGACAACCTCCCCACTTAAAATGTTTCACTTTTCTCACCTTTAGGATTTTGTATGACAAGTCTTGTATCACGCCTTAAAAGGCACTTTTTTTTTTTATTCTTTTTTTTTTTCGCAACAAAAGTGTAAGCGAGCAGTCATAAACTCAAATCCCATTTTTTTTGTTTACTCCAGATTCGTTCTCCACCATCGGTTTCGTCAGTGAACCACAAATATGGTCTTAGGCAAAGTTTGATCTATGCGTTAATCCCATCTCCTGTGCCGGTGTTTTCCAACAAGGGCTTCTATTATTTTCTGTTTTTAATGAAGGGTCTTTTTCTTCATTTTATCCGCGGTGATCTCATTTCTCGAGGTTTTTCCCGATCATGGTTTCCTGTGTTTCTGAAATTCATCTGTTCGATAAATAGTGCCAAAAAATCTTCCATGGCTTAAGGTCCTTATGGGAAAGGTGAAAAATTATAGAACCGTCTTAAATCGATTATCTCAAATCAGCGAGGCCAAGTGAACGCTTGGTGAACTGAAACCTACAGCATGTGCCAAAAGACTTGGAAAATTTTGTTGTTCGTGAGTTTTACCTCTCCCGGCCAATCTCCGTAGAAAGTTGAATAAACAATTTCGTGTCACAAAAGTCTGCATTCCTACGTTGAAAAGGTGACTGGGTGTCTTTGGTGAAAAAACTAGATATTTTTATGAATCCGTTTTAACCAAGTGAATATGAACAGTTATGATATCTTGGTTTTTAACACAATCTGTTTGAGATATTAGCTAAGAGCTCAAAGTAGTTTTGCTTTTAACCATTTGGACGCAGAAGTCTATGAAACATGGGAAATCGTTTTCGTTCCTGGTCACTTTAACTACTAAGAAGGAAATGTGTGCAAATTAGTGTGCAAGGGAATGGAAAAGAAAAGAGAGCAAATAACGAAATCTCATCATGATTCAATCTTGGTACTACACAAAGGGGTAACCGGTCACTTTTTATGTCATTTTAGCTGCTAAAGTCACCATAAAAACATATTGGTTTAGCAAAGTATAAAGCATATGATGCAAATTCTGACTTGTAATGGACTTTCAGTGAAAATTGGAGGGCATTCATGCGTGATCGGCAGTTTTTGATAGAGTACACCAAGAGCACAGGCCTCACTCAGTATTCTACGACGGCTTAAATTATTTCTTATCTTTATTAATGATTTACCCCATTTGGTCAGAACTCGCAAAGCAAAAAGGAGGTGATAATTTATCACTTAAGAATAATGATAGCTATGGATGGAAAGGGTTGAAAGGATTGTAAAGAGATGACAACCTTAAAAAATTCCAACTACATTTTTTCCAGATGCAGTTAATCCACTGATTCTTCTATTCCCAATACTGACTAAAAAGGCACTTCTCTTGTCTTGTACCCAGATCTTCCATGACAAAGCAATAAGATTTAAACGGTGAGATCTGGGTACGAGATCAGCATTTCTCTACATTGAGATACTCATACATTTTCAACCAGGAGGGCGATGACGACGATATCGTTTGATATGCGCGTCACACCAGAATCTCAGAGTTATCATTATACGAAATCTAAGGCAGACAGTGCGGAGAATTGAAGTTCTGATGTTGGGAGTGAAAGTGTTAAATCACAGTAATACTTCTCGATCGCACATTGTGCCCTATCTGACTGTCAAGTATTAAGTTCTTTACGCTTGGTGGAATCTCAAATAACTCTTCTTCCTCTGCAAACGTCACGAACCTTCTCCAGTCTTCGGAAGATTCTGAAGAATCATCATCTGAGATCTGCAGCTTTTCTGAGGTCAAAAGTTTTTCAATTTTGGCTTTTTCCTGGACGCTGTTGAACTTGGAGCCTATGATTGGCAGCAGTGGGGTGATGATGATCACCCCAAAGACCACGCACACGGCACCATTTATTTTGCCAGCTGAAATAAAAGTTTCAAAATATATCAGGATGAATATTGTTAGAAATTTCGTCTGTCTGGATGAGAGGAAGAGGAAGGGAAGAAAATGAAGAGGGTTACGGCTGTTATCGATGTTCTCTTGCTGTTATCCATGTTGCATCAGAGACTCATCGTTGGTGAAGATAAGGGAAACAGCAAAATTACACAATAGCATCCCTGTAGTTAACAAATGGTAAACACCACAGCGTGTTCCATTGAGTTATGGATGCACGCAGGAAGTTGCTAAGCACGAAGGAGCGACTCTCTAGCGGGAGAGAAGAAACATAGGGGAGAGATCGCCTGCTAAAAATTAAGGAATTGGACCATCGTTGCTCTGTAACTTCTGTCGTCAAGATTACCTCGACATACATTGCATCAAACTGTAATTTGTTTTTCCACAAGGCCGCGATAAAGCTGCAAGAAGATTAGTTAACGTTCGAGAGTCATTCCCTTTGCTAGCACAAAATGGCCCAGGTCATGGGTTCAAACCCCGTGCAGCAGGTCCGTAGGGGCCTGAGTTTTTTATTTTCAGGCCTTATCATCTCCACTACTACATAAGTAGGGTTTATTATTGTGAGGATCGCTTTCATACATTTCATGAAACCACAGTACACAGATATGATTATCATATACTCAAAATTCATTGATTTGTGGTCGAATTACTTTTCATGCAAGGCGAAATCGGATGTATGAGACTTAAATCGGAAGGTACATCGGGATTGAGATTTGCAAAATTGGAAAGAACCGTGGAAATTAAAGGAAAAAGTCCGAAACTTGACGGAGGTGTGTCGCTCTATTGCAATACATGTTCCTTTGATAGTGATATGATTTACTTTCTGTTTAACTACAAATAAATTTCAGGGATACTGCGTCCTCCTTCATTTTAATTTTATGCTAAGAGCGTGCTCAGAACCATTCGTGAATTTCTCTGTTCTTGTCAATTTTTTTTCTTGATTCTCTGGTCTAAGTTAAGCTTTCATTTTCGGCATTTTGCATATGTCAAATCACTTTAAGTCCTCTCATTTGTCATCGGGACTGGTTGTTTAGGTTTCTTCCCACTTATTTGGACGGAAATTACGTCACCTTCGTTAAATAAAGAATATTACATTGTATTGTATTGAAAGGGCGTTCTTTGTTTCCATTGCATCTTTAATTACAGTTTAAACAATATCACAGATTACTGTGATATATCACAATAAACTGTGATATTTTCTAATCAGTCCTTAATCGGTGTGAGCTAGGAAAAACTTGATTACATCAATGATGTGGTATCGTTATAAACAATAACAATTTCATGCCCTCTATACTTAGGATCTCAGTTAAGAAAATAGGTACGTTTTGGAGGAAACAAAAAGCTCTAATGGTGTTTGAACCTTCGAAAAAACTTTATAACTGGAAAGCCATCATTAATGGATAATTACTTCGGCACATGGCATTATAAGAAATATTGCAGCCAGCTGAGGCCGTAGCTGGCTGCTATGCTGGCTGCAATATTTCTCATCATGCCATGCCATGTGCCGAAGTAATTATCTATTATAATTATTGATCCCCATGAAATCCTATTGTTCTGTGTCTGTGTTGGATCTTCGATTTTAGTCGCACTTATGTGTGATAATTGTGATGTTCATTGCTTTTGTTCTTTGTTGTGATGAATATATCTTAGATTTTAATTGTACCGAGGGTTGTTATTGTAGCTCGTTGTTATAGTTGTTTAAAACAGTTCTAATGATGGAATTAATTCGTGCAAGGCGTGTAACACTGCTAATTTGCATACTTTATAAGCCAGAGAATTCAGTCATTTTACTCAGTGCGAACCTGGGTTTAGAAAGAGGATGGATTCGTCGGAAGACGAAGGATTATTTATTACACAGAGCACTACGAAGGCAGATATCTCAGCAGAAATCGAAGGGCACTACACTAATCACTCTCTCAGGCGTTCTTGTGCTACACGGTTGTGGGATGGTAGTGTTTCAGAACAACTTATCCAAGAAACGACTGGTCATCAGTTTTCCGATGGTGTCAGAGCATATAAATGTACCTCATCAGCACTCAAAAGGGAAGCAAGCGAAATTTTCAGGGTTCTCTTTCAAAAAAGGCTGTAACTGATGTAGAGAAAAAGGACGAAAACGGTGCTGGGGAAAATAATACTGCACGAGAGGTTAAAGTAGTAAGTCCGGAAAAATGTGATCAAGAGGGTAGTAATCAGTCAGTAGTTGTTAGCACTAATTCCACTAGAATTGTTATTTCCTATAAATAAACTGATGAGTATAATTCTTCTTAATGCAATAGATTGTGCTCCATACTATCAGTCTCCTTGATTGTATTTATTTTCAGTGTTTGAAAGTTTTAGTTGATTAAAGTGGCACTTCGAAACAAAAAATTAAGTTGCAATGAACGAGAGTTAAACGCAAACGGTAATGTTGACAATGTGGTAAGCTATCAGTTTTGGTGCGCTTTATCCATTAAATTTCCGAAAACAAGCTGCAATATTTTTAATAATTGTAACCTGCACACTGCAACATTTTTAATATTGCAGCCTGGACACTGCAATAAGTTTAATATTGTAGCATGCTTATTTAGCGCGTTTAATTCTATTACCCCTGATAATTTCCCTGCTAACAAAAAGGACCACCTCCGTTTTCCTCATACAGTTGTTTTGTCCTCTTAAAGACTACAATCGTTGATTTAATGCAGAGAGAGAACAATAGAATTTCATGGGGATCAGTAATTATTTGTGGCTACCTCCTTCCATAGGAGGTGAAGGCACATATGCTATCGAAATGAGTGAGTGTTGCTAATAATAAAATACCAAACTTCACCCGATTTTTAACCCAACATCACCTATTGTTTATTTCAAAGAATCTTCGTAGTTCGACACTTAGCGTAAGAGATTATAAGGCGCAACATATAATAGTGTCCGATTTTTGATTTGGACACTAAGTGTCTGACTATTTTGGACACCAGTGGCGGATTTTAGATTTTAGACACTAGTGGTCGATTTTTTATTTTGGACTCAAGTTGCCAATTTTTGATTTTGGACACTGTTGTGACCATCTGAGAACTGACTGGTGGTGGCTTTGTCCCGTGTGGCTTTTCGGGTAGAAAGGGATTTTTTAAGAAGAACGTTTTCGAATCGATGTTTAAGCTAAGGATTTTACAGTCAATAAATTTATTGGTTTGGTTAATATTGGATTTAACAGACACTAATGGTTGATTTTTGAGTTTGGAGTCGCTAGTGGCCTATTCTGGATTCTGGATACTAGTGGCCGATTTTTTATTTTGGCCGATTTTTTTATTTGGACTCTAGTGGCAGTTTTTTAAATTTGGACTTATTTTGTTGATTTTGCATTTCGGACACCAGAGTAAAGTTATAGGATATTGATGAAAAAACACTGCATCCATAACTCAGTAGTGTACGCTGTGATGTTTACCATTTGTTTTATAACATAACATCGATACATTGTAGCAAAAGAGTTCCCTTTCATTTAACAAATCTTACGTGACCAGAAAAAACGAGAGTGTGAAAATTTGTCTTTGCATTTGCACACGTCAGCAGCGTTTACTTGTGGGCAAATGATGAACATTGAATTGTCTTATCAGAGCACGCGCTTTACTTTGGTTATATTACAATAATTGAGAGAGACAAAACCTAGAGTATCACAAAACCTCAAATTTGCACAAAGTAGGAAAGACGTATCTACTTACAATAATTAATTTAAACTTACCTGGAGTTACAGGAACCATATCTCCGTACCCCACACTGGTCAGTGTTATTATGGCCCACCAAAACGCCGCGGGAATGCTCACAAACTCAGTCCCTTCATGTTCTCCCTCGAAATAGTAACAGGTGCTGGCAAACACAGTCGTAGTCATGAGAATCAGAAAGTAGAGCAGTAGGAAATCCTTGACACATTCTCGAATTGTTTTAACAAAGATCTGAACGGAGGAGCTATAGCGATAGATTTTTGCCAGCCTTAAGAGGCGTACCAGACGCAAAACCCTTAGGGTGTACGCGGATTGTGTTGCGCTAACAGACTGCGAAGATACAACGAGAGAGAGATAGAAAGGTAAAACTGCAAGAAGGTCGAAAAGGTTGAGAAGATTCCAGAAGAAACGCCGTTTTTCAGCAGAGGCTAGAAAGCGGATCATCAGCTCTAATGAAAAACAGGCAATGCAAAATGTCTCGATGACAAACAAAGTTTGTAGTTTATTTGATAAACTTTGAGTTACATATACCACTGTACGAATATCTCCGGTGATATTGTCCGATTTGTTTCCATTTTTCTGTTGCCGATTGCGTGCTAACACATGCCCATTTTCTTCATCAAGGTCAGGGAGAGTTTCAATGCACAACATGACGATGGATAAAATAATCACCAGAAGCATAAACGCGTTGACGAGTCGGGCAGCAACGCTAGAGCTGGGATTTTCAAAGAGTTCCCACACCATTCTCTGATACTTGTTACCTGGAACAATTACCTTAGAGGGGCCTACAGACAGTAAAACATTTCCCGGCAGCGAAAGGTATTGCAGTAGACCGTAAAATTGCATTTCCTTCATAAGTAGGTCGTCCGGAATGTGTTCAGGACGAAAAAGCTCCCCAGCAGTTTGGTAAAAATAATAAACACTTTCAAATGCCATTCGATTCCTGTCGAAGAAATACTCGTCCCTTTCAGCATCGTAGAATTCTTCTCTTCGGGCAGAGCGAGCGAGCAGACTCTTGGGGAACCTAAACAGGCGACCGTATGTCAATTCGTACTTCTTCCCACTCACGTTTATTTTGATTCTTTCAACGCTCTTTCCTGGGATCGCGACAGAACTTATGCGCGGTTGTCGGTAACGCGTCAAGTCTCCAAGTCTGTGTCCCAAACGAGGAGATTTAACTCTTGATTCCGACCAGGACCTTCTCCTCGTTCCTACCGGCGACAGAATCATGAAGTCAGCTCAGTGTCGATGAACTTACTGCAACCCGATAAAACTCGGCACGTCCGGCGAAGGTATGTGCACAACAGTAGAACTGCAAACTACATGATTTGCGAATCATTGCTTCCTTTTTTGCAGTTCTGGCTCGTTTTGATTTATAAGTTGCTCAAAAAATAAGTCCTGCTCCAATCTGAGAGTATAATCAGCGGGCATGCTGACGAATTTATTACAACTCTTCCTAATCTTTAGACACGAGGTGTCGCCGAACCAGATTGTTCAGATAATTCACCACTATCTTTACTCAGTAAATTTATTCAGAGTGACAACTATCGATCTTTTTTTAATGGATACCGTGTTATTTTATAAACTCCCTCAGTCACGTATCAGTTGAATACTCTCAAGGCTGACACTGTTAACACAGTAACACTCTTGATTTTGACATCATAAACCCAAAATTATCGATGTTAAGTGTACTTTTATTGAGGTGCGGAAGTATGAATTCAACGAAGCCGTTTATGATCGCTTAACCCAGATCCAAGGTCCAGACATTTGCCCCATGATTTTCTTTCTGACATCGTGAATTTCAAGCAAATGAGATCAGACAAAAGATAATGCCACGAAAGAGAGGCATATTTTGAGTGTCACGTCAATGAGTAATTTATGATTGGCGTTCCATCCATAGCCTGCAGAACAGGCGTATTTTTTTTTTTTTTTTTTTTAGCGTTTTTTACGGGAGGCAGCGCGAGGCGAGCGTGACGGTACGAGTCACGCACGAAGGGAGGAGCGCAAAGGAAAATGTTTCTTATTCATATTTTGCACTCCACTGCTCCCGCGTTGCTGTTGTGATTTTCAAGACAAACGTTGAGTCCTTGGACATGACAGATACCTACGAATCATATCGAAAATCGTGTAAAAACAGTACAATGTACTTAAATAGCTGCTACTTTCATGATCTTCATTACTCTAGATTTCAAGAGAGTCAACTGTTTGAAAGAAACTTGAATATCAGTTCATAACAGCCTTTCGCGTTGTCTGCTTGTGACAGAAACAAGATGCTGATTGGTTTGTGTAAATTGCGATTTCTTCTACCTAACAAAAACGATACACGCAACAATTACGGCAAAAAAAAAATGGACCCGCTACCAGTCTTAACCGCATTCATATTTTATTTTATCTGGATGAGTTCAATTTTTATGAGAACGAGATGGTAGTGATGCACCAAAAGGATCAAAAAAGCTCTCAAAAAGGCGCAGATGTCATCCGACATACCTGGTTTTGATGAAAATTGATCGTAAAATAAAGATAGAATCTAAAAATTTTGGACACTAGGCCGATTTTGGATGTTGGATACTGGTTGTCGATTTTGGATTTTGGATGGAAGTGGCTTACAACGCGGAATGCCTTGTTGTGTGAAAGAAAAGTGTCACAAAAATGGAGTTGCAATTAAATAAGAAAATTATCAATAACTAACAGGCGAAATTCAAATTTAAAGAAGCTTAGTTTTATCATTGGAGCCAAGAGGATAGACCGATAGAGAGACAGTGAGGTTCTTGTTAATATCCATAATACCATTCGCTCCGACGAAGGACTAACGCTCGAAACGTCACTGCTTTCATAATCGTAACGGTGGCCAATTTACCATTTCAACTTTGTTGATATATTCAAATTATTCTTGTTAATATGATTATTTGATACCATCTAATCATTGGTTGAATGTCAATTAGTTACTATTTTCTTCCATCATCTTCCTCTTGTGTGGAACAGGATGCTCGTGACAATATGGTGGATACAGTAGCAGCTATATGCAGTCTGAACTGCCAATATGTTACCATCAGTCAAGTGGTATATCGCTCGCACCGATCAAATTGCCGCATTTGAGTATGTATCTCGCACCAATCAGGTCGCCGCACTTGGGCATGTATCTCGCACCAATCAGATCACAGCATTGAGGCATGTTTGGACCAATCAGAGCGTCAAAGTATATGTCAACCATATCATGGAATTAGGGTGTCGCAAAGTGTTGCAATGGAATCAACCCAACATTGACGTACGTTAAGAACGACATCAACAAAGAATTGTGAGCATATCTATCTTGTGAACTGATATATTTCCTCCGTGTGGACCTAGTCGCTATGATCTGTCGAGATTACAAAAGTCAGCTGGGAATTTTTCTGCCATTTAAAAGGTTAAAGCGTGTCTTGTGTACCGCTCCTTCGCTTACAACGCACACGCCGGCGCGCCGTCAGCAAAAGGCCTAACACGAAGTTATCACTGGAACGTTTGTTTTGGAAGGGCTAATTTGGCTGACTCTGCGAAAAGCATTTGCATAAAGCATATTTGATCGATAATCTTGTTTCTGCCTTAGGGTTGCTCTTTTGGCTAACGTCGAAAAGATCATCAAGTTAGAATTGCTTTCTGTGACACTTGGTGACAGGTCGTTTACTTGCGCAGCACCTAAACTCTCGAATGTATTACCATTCGAAGTTAGAAACTGTAAGTCTTTGGATATTTTTAAGTCAAAGTTAAAAACACACCTTTTTCGTTTAGCATTTTTATCTTAGCCTGAACACGATATTATAGCAGTATTAGTATAACATTAGTATTTGTATGTAGTTCTAGTATTTATTCTATTTTATCTTATTTTAATAGTTGGATTAATTATTACTGTGTTGTTTATTTTGAAGCGCATTTGAACATTGTATGGAATTTGCGCTATACAAATTATCATTATTATTATTATTATTATTATTATTAATATCTGCTTTTTCACGCAACTTTCACGTGTTTTGACATTTCTTACCAATCAAATTAGCCTTATGCTACCTTGGACTTCACCCATCACGTGTCAATTCCTTGTAAACAACCTGCAATTTTTTTTTACACTCAGGGTACAAGGCAACAGCCCTTCCATTCCTCGCCCCCCCCCACCCCCCGTTGTAATAACCACACGAAAGCCTTTCAAGTTTAATTATTTTCTCTTTGTTCAATGTATTTTCACTTATTCGAGAAGAGGAGACCGCGAAATGTCTTTGGTGAGGGTCTCCTCGAGATGGAGTTTTGGTTTGCTTTCCTCGGCAAAATAAAAACGCTCGTGCCGAAGCGCCAATAATAAGGACCTTAAGGGTCCTTAAGCAAACTACGACGACGACGGGAACGGGAACAATAGCTCAGCACGCGTGTAAGAGTTCTTTTTTCGGTTCAGTGGGTTGAGATGTGGCACAAAAAAAAGCATTTACTTTCAAAGTTTCCACCAAAAATACCTTTCGATAAGGAGTAAGGACCAGTAAAAAAGACCCTTCCAATTGATATGAAATAAACTCAGACAGGTATTTTGAGGTCTGTTGTCACTGTTTTCTGAAGAATTTTAAGCAGAAATAAATTGCATTTGTGCCACACTTACTGTAGTCTCCTTTGCAGTCGTTGGTTGGTCTCGCGACGAAACGCGCTCTCTCCTCCATCCCCGTGGCGCGACGAGACCAAACAACGGATGCGATTGAGACTTCGCTTGCCTGCGTGCTTGTCTAAACAGTAAGGACGGCAACGCCGAGGAAGACGTCGAATGAAAAATGAATGTCTATTTTTAATCAGAATTTCGAAAATGGCCGTATGTGTTTACCGTCTCATAAGGCGCCACACCTCAATTTCAGCATAATGTATAAAAGTAGCAAATATAAATATAGAGGCAAGACCGATACAACGTAGATAAGTAAATTTTAAGACGGAGCACTATATTTCGGTTGCCAAACCAGCCTTCTTCAGGTGCAGTGGGAATTAACAGAGAATTGGGGTGATGCTTCATAGATAGCTGTATGATGTAACAGCGGAAATATGTTTACTTATCTACGTTGTATCGGTCTTGCCTCTATATTTATATTTCATATTCGTTATTTTGGGCCGATCAGATCATCGCTGATCCAACTTACAAGAGTAGGAGTATCGTCCACGGTTGCCTGCTGAACATTTCACAGTTATAAAAGTAGCGTTCAGTTCCAAATGAAAATTAAACTAATTTGCCGTCGTGGTTTCCGTTCGCAGACGTCGCAAATTTTGGTGATTTCACGCTGTTTTCGACACAGGATGGCTATGAAATGTCCAAAGTTTTAACGCGCGTAGCATGCCTATGTTTTTGTTTTACCAACCACACAGGCAGAAGCCTGCCTTCACTACCCGAAGCCAATCTCCAAGTGACACACCGAAATGATTAGCGAGGGAAGACTGGTACCGATATCCTTTCAGCATCACTCTCTGCGCATGGTATTGTTATGTTTGGTAGTTTCTAAGCAGTTGTTGAACCGTGAACTTGGTGCCTTGATAACAATTTAGAAACGATTTGATCCCTAACATGGCTCATAACCACATGAATCATAATATGGATTCTGGAATGAACACGTCTACAACGGCGCCGATGACTCATGATCATGGTGGTCACGGCGGTGGTACAGTCCACCATATGATGCAGGTTTAGTTGTTTGTTTTTTTTTCTCTTCAAATTTCATCTTTTAAAACGACATGATTCTAGTCAGAAATTTGGCTGTTGCTTTTGTCTTGAAATGGCCGTCTAGAGACAAGATTCGTCAACTTCCGTTAAGTAAAATGAAGGGTAGTATGGCATGCCGTTTCCCATCCCGTGACTTTGCTGTAATTTACTTCGATTTCCCTTTGTATTCCGTCGAAAACTCAAGGATTATGTCACAAAACATGAGCTATTCGTCCATGATCGTGTAACAACGTATGTTTCATTGTACTTCTACAGTCATCTGATGTACTCTTTCCCCGTACTTGAAGAGCTTTTGATTAGATCTCGCCACAGATATTTATTCTATCAAACCATCAAATTTTTGATTGCCGCAATTTCGCACGCTAAACTGATGTTATTGAAAGCTTAAAACATCTTCTGGGTTAAAAGTTTGGACGGCGATCGTGTGTATCATTTTTTTGGCCTTTAAGAATGTAAGAAATTGTTTCAACTAACTTGAACGAGGCAAACTTTGACGTAGTACTTTTAAGGGCAGTATTTATATTTTCGGTTTTAATGTAAGATGTAGCGGCTTGTAAACTTATTAAGCAAAGAGATATTTCATTCACTCATGAGTTGAGCTTCTATTAAAGCGTATAGAGAGAATGGTTCTGGGAAAAAATATCAGGAATCTGGCCATTCATCATTTTAATAACAAGCCCATTTTTATCAAGATCACAAATTTACATCTGTTAACTAATGACGTATTGAATCATACGCCCTCTTCTTTGTTCTTAGAATTGTTCTTCTTGCCACTTCGTAAGTTTTCCTATGAGACTATATTAGCTTTACACAGCTGGTTAAACACATCTTTTTGTGTCTTGAGAGCTGAGCCTGATGTAAAAACCACAGAACGTTTTCGATGTGCCAGTTTACAAATATAACTGACTAGCAACAAATTTCAAAATCTGACATTTGTTGCGCTTGTTTGATAAGCTTGACGTTAAGGGGACAGCAGCCTACATGGATATTTACATTTCACAATATTGGACCTGTTTCAAGCACTAGGATTCTCACACCAAGATATTGCTACTTTTGTTTTCAACCTCAATTAACTTTTTATTTATTCCACACAACCTTTGAGTTTCTTTTTTAAAGTGCTTGTTGACGATGTAGTTTGGTAACTCCCCTAATTAGTACAAGGTTCTACCTTTCATGTGTTGCCGACAAAATGCTTATTTAGTTGTGATGTTTTTTACTTGAAGTAAGAAATTTTTGCTTCAGCTGTGACAAGTTGGAATGATTTGTTATCATGGTGTTCCCTTTTAATAAAATTCTACTTGGATCAAATTTGGCATCCATCCAACTTTCTATCATAATTGGACAAATTGTAAGAAATAGCTTGTCAAAAATTGTTTAGACTGGTTGATAGTATCTGAACAAATTATACTTCAACTTTATTTTTATCCCTTAAAATATAGCTTATGATCCTTTGATTTTGCTAGTGCAATCATGAGCAGTTTCAGTGATATTCTTATTTAGCTGCAAAATGATACAAAAATGATACAAAAATGATCCTCAACAAGAACTACTTTCTTCTTCCCTTTAATTTTACATATCTTCCAAAAGGGAAAGACCTAATTAGGATATTTGGACAACATGACAAATTGTATGCATAATTTGGCATTTATCATAAGACCAAATTCAGAAAAAGGAGGCTGGAGAGTTACCATACATTTCACTGTGACTCAAGCTAAAAATAATATACGTTCAAATCATTGGAACTTGTTCTTTGATTTTCAGCATATAAAAATTGAATTTGCATGCAAGATGCAAGCATTTAGTGGAGGGTCTGGTGAACTGAGATTTTGTAATAACACACACAAAAATCCGCTCAAGTGTGTTCTTTAATTCTTGTGTTATGTTCTTAAAGACACATTAACATGTGAAATCAATAAGGTTGTGAGGGTCAGAAAAAAAACTGAAGGAAAAATTGAGACAACTTATTCTTATAAAGGTTCGTAGTTATAGAATGCTTGGCATTCCAACCAAAGTGGGCAAATTGTGCTTTGGTCCAAATCGTGTCAAAAGGCAGAATGTATTATGCAAGCTGTTAAGGTTGCAAGTGTCAATTTGCTTTAATATTAATTGTGGGTATTAAAAATTATAATGTGAAAATTATTGTAACTTGAGAGTGAAAGTTTCCTGTATTGAAAAGATTTCACCATATCACGGCACAAATTACACCAAAACAAATTACACTAAACAAAGTTAATATGAAAACATTGTTAAGAGAAATTTGCTGAAGATAAAACTTTGTGTTAAGGAAATTAAGAAATGCGGTAATGAAAAATCTGTTTCTTGTACCACCTTAAATATTTGATATGGGGTGGTTATTACTGACAGCAGGTAATATAATGTAACACTTGGCTGCTGACAACTGCATTTTTACCATTTTCTTGGTTACTAGGCCAAGCTTTACGTTACACTGTGAGCTGGATACTGGTTCTAGTTTTTCCTTATAACTTGATTTCTAAGATGCATTCCACGATGGGAAAGGTGATGAAAAGTTTTCCATACTATTTTGATTACAGCCTTTTCATGACATTTACTTCAAGAAGTTCTTACTTTCCATCAGATTTCCAGGCTCAGAGAATTCTTAGTGTGCGTCATCAAATGCAAACCTGAGTGGGACAGCAGTTTTTGTTCATTCCAGTAATGTGAACTATATGGGATGACTTGTCATAAAATCATGTAAAGTTAACACTCTGTTATCTTTCCTTTTTGTGTCCAGCCATTTAAAACTTTTCACCCATATAGAACATACCATTATGCTGTGTATGGCCTGATATTACATTGGCATATATAAAATTGGTTTTTGGGCAGATGCTTTCAAAGGGTAAACCCTTTCAAAACCATAGTAACATAATTTTTCCCCAAGCCATGTTTATGGGTTATAGTAACCTAGATAAATGATCTGACTTAAAATCTTGTGATATTTATGAAAAACTGATGTATAGCTTACACTGTAACTGTTACTTTGTAATATAGGTTTCTCCTTGGAATGAACTTTTCCACATTTGTTTGTCACAGTGAAGTACAGTACAAGCTGAATTATTCTCTTCATTTTCAATTGTTAATTGTATTTGAAAGAAATAGGTAGACTGTCAAATCTACATGGTTAGAAACTGAGAAATTTGTGTAGGCTTATGTGAAATCAAGAGATGTGAAAAAAGTTGTTTTTTTTAATTGAAAATTATCACATTTAATGTAGCTGAATATATCATGATATAATGTCACTTAATAATTGGTAAAAACTTTAATTTGTAACATGCTTAAATTAAGGTGTTTTTCATTCAAATATTTTCGTATACTCTTCTAGCAATTTTGCCTGTGTCAAGAGTACCCTATACTTTTTTCATGAAGGGCAATTTGGTGATTTTTTCCTTGTGAGTCATGATTTGAGTTTTTTTTATTTGTGAATCGTGATTGAAGAGAATAAGATCTTTTTAAGTCCAGATGAATGGATTTTTTATTTAAGTGTGACCAGTAAATTAAGAGCTGAATTAAATGTGATTTGTGAACCATTCTGTTTTGCATGATGAATTTCTCTCTATGTAATAGTTTTGGAAATGTGTGTATTGCTCTAGAATGGCTGTGGTTAGGTTTTGAGATGGACCTGATATGGATTGATGAAAGTCATAAAACAGACTGCCTATGGTTCTTAACAAAAAAAATATTTAGACAGTATGTCATCTTTTGATGCAAAGGACTTGTCAAGATTCAAATTAAAAGTAAAAATATTAATTCAACATGATTGTCTTGAATTTTGCATGAATGTGAAAGAGGTTTGGATATAATTTGTGATGTGTGAAAAAGCTAGATATTCACATGATTGAGTTTTGCAAAGGGGTGTAGGGGACCCTCTGTGTTGTTTTGTATTGGAAAATGTTCCTTTTTTTCTTGCTCTTCTGGTCATTAAACAAGTATAAGTGTACAGTTGTATTTATATCTTGTTTGCATTTTTCTAGATGTATTTTGTTGTAAGCGAGAGTGCAACTATACTGTTTGAAGACTGGAAAGTAGATACAGCAACAGGTACAGTACACATGAAAACAACTGGAATTTAACCCTCTACACCCTAATATCAGTATGCATATTCTCCATACTGTTCTTTATACATTTCCTAAGGTGTTAACAAGGAGAATTTGTTTAACAATTAGGAGTTTTTTTTTTAGTTGATGATCATTTCCTCTATTCTCCTGACCATAGCATGCAATTCAGGGGTGCTATTGTAAGGAGAAATTAGATGCTAGTCACTCTTAACATAGAAAGGGTTAATAGGATGCTATTTCATGGTTAAGATTTATTAACAACCCTTTCACTCCCGAGATCTTGTTAGCAGGGATTTTATTAATTTCGGAATTAGGCATATATTAGGACATAAGTAGGTGGAAGACAGTTCAGGGGTAATTGAGGCAGATTTGTCACCAGTCTTTCTCTTCCATCCATTCAACATGGCACACAGCGAACCAATTGTTGTTGATTGAATTGTTGGAACTTGTTACAAAACTCACCCAAAAACCAAAAAGGAGACAAAATATCAACATAAAACACCTGTATTGATGACTGCCTTTGATTATAATGACTGTTTTCTTAAAAAACATGCAAAAACCAGGAGGTGGAATGGCCATAGTAGCCAGCTCCATTGTGGAGAGTAGCTGCTGGAATTTGCCAGTTGCCAGCTTCTAATGAAATCCCTGTGTTAGTATTTCTCCTTATTGTATGCGACAGTATTCTTATAAAGTTGGGTCTGAGAATTTAGTATTGGATCAACTTAGAATCCTCCATTTGATATTCTTCCGTATTCACATCACTTGTCAGCTTGATATCATATTGATATTGTAAGGAGAAATTCTGTCTTGGTACACATGAGAGTTGAGTGGTTAAGCGCTCTCAGGTTTTTTTTGTTAAGAAATGGTTAAGGTTTTGGTCATAAACTTGACTGTATAACTCTCTTTTTTTTTTTTTGGTTTGTGCTATTCATTTGATGCATTGATTTATTGGTTGATAGAAATGGTTTTCTCCTGCCTTGGCATTTTTGTTCTTGCTGCACTCTATGAAGGCCTAAAGGTTCTTCGTGAAATTTTGAAAAGGAGATATAGCTATGTGGTCAGCGTGGATTTAACAGAGACCAAGGTGTATGGTACAGGGCCTAACCAAACAACTGTTGTGACTGAATCAAAAGGAAATCTTCCAAGGTTGGAATCATTTATTTATAAACTAGTGCTAGTGGGGAAATATTATTCAACTGTTTTTTTTTTCTTTTTATGCAGTAAATAATTTTTCTTTATTTTGCTCTTTGTTAAGGTTGTGGACACCTGTCACAACACCGCCTTTTACCCTTTCATTCATAAGAAAGAGCAATGACTTAGTTCTCCTTATTGTGTCAATGCGTCTTTAAGCAGAGAGGGAGATCGAGTGGAAAGAAAGAATAATAGATATTGGGATACGATACTTTATTTGACTGTTCACCAAACTTTCAATGATGAAATTCTCAAAAATGTTTAGCAGGCAGCACTGGGATCTTAGTGATGGAAGGATTGAAATGTTGTATGTTGCTGTGTTGACATTCCTTTTATGTCTGTGTCCTTAGTAAGTGATGGGCAAGAAATGGAAGCACTGGGTCAAATCAATTCTGAAAACCAGAATAGTCACATCATGCTGTACTAGAATTCTTATAAGCTCAAATATTATGGCAACCATGCATTATACTGCTCCTCATCCATCTTTTATGTCTGCGTCCTTAGCTCTTGATGGGCAAGAAACAGAAGCAGGGTCAAATCAACTATGAAAACCAGTCATGCTGGGCTAGAATTCTGATAAGCTCAACCATTGTGACAACCAATGTATTATACTGTTCCTCATCCATTTTTCTTTTGTTGTTGATTTTTATGGTATTTGTTCCTGAAAAAGTCAAGTTGTATTTTTTTTGTCTGTTTTTTGTCAGGTCCAGAATTTGCAATTGGCATCATGTACTTCAAACATTCCTTCATGTTATCCAAGTCACTCTGAGCTATTTCCTCATGTTGATCTTCATGACATACAATGTCTGGCTGTGTCTGGCGGTTGCTCTGGGAGCAGGCTTTGGGTATTTTGTGTTTGGATGGAAGCTGAACAAAGTGGTTGATATTTATGAGCACTGTCATTGATTGATGTTATTCTCTTCCAATTAAGTTCATTGTTTGGAAGGGTAAAAGCATTGATAGCTGGTATCTTTCATAATTTCAGTTTTGTTTAGTTAGTTATTTAGTGTAAACATTGTTTATTTAATTGAAACTTGAAGTTCATTTCAACAATTCCACACAATCACATTTACAATGCTCTTAATTTAGACTGATCAGACACATTAGCTTTCAAGAAATGCTCTTAACAAAATTTATGCATGGTTCTTTTCAAATTATCTCATTTGAAACTTGTTTTGCACAACCACAACAATTTTTTAGAATTTGATTGTGACTGATATGAAGAACATGTGCACTGAGAAAGGATATGGTGAAACACACACTCGTTTTGCTGAACATAGGGTTACAGAAAATACCCAAAAGTATCTCGTGTTCTTGAAAAATCCAGGTGACCATCTTAATGGTTCATAAATAAATTTGTAATAGTTTACATCAGGTATCTCAGGAAAATTGATAGTACCATTCAAGTGACAAAGTAAAGGGGAATGTTTAAACATGAGCTAAAATTTAAGTAGTTTGTAATACAGGCAACACTGTTTGCACTTTCTTTTCTAACTGATTAGCTTCCTTTTTTTTTTTTTGGAAAATATTTGTGAGTACCAGTTTTTAACAGTGTGGTTGTAGAAAAGTGTTGCAATTTTTCATTTAAAGAATGAGTAGTTGGAATGAGTAGTTTAAAATAACTTTTATTTAATTTAATTGCTTGCATAGGATCACCCAACAAAGTTTCTCAGAGGTAAATTGATTTTCCAAACTGGGGAATGTATAATTAAAAATATTTTTGTGGTTAAAGGTTAAGTAATAGGGATATTTTTGTTTTTATTATGATATTCATTAGATTTTATTTCTTTACTTTAAATTAGATAGATAACTTTTATGGGCCATTCAATACATTTGATATAAAGTTAATTATGATAATAGTTGTGGGTACTCAGTGCATGTTTATAATGGGCATCAACAGAAAGAGAAACAGAAGATGAGAAGTGCAAAGGAGAAGTGAGATGAAGGACGGACTGAGGTCTAGACAGTGGGAGATCATGGGAAGTCCAGGCTCGACACTAATGGTAGCCAATTAGCCACGGACTAGTAGAAATTCAGTTTTGGCTGGTGGTTTTCTATTTCCACTCCATTATCCAATTTGGCCAATAAACAAGCTGAAATTGTCGTTACATCTAGGTTGTCATTAGCCACTTGGCTAGTAAGTTGAAAAGTTAGTGTTGAGCTCTGGGAAGTGCCCAAGTCTTCCTCCTCCAATGTTCACTTCTTGTCACACTGACTGCTTATCTTGTTTCCCTGTCGCTGCTCTCTGCGCAGGGCAAAGACTAAGACTGTTACAGCTCAGCATGGTTTGGTGTAGTTTTTGCTTTGTTTTTGGCTAGCTTGTGGTGAGATTTGCTCTTTATTTGTTTGCATCAGTCTGTTGGTTTTGTTATTGTTGGGCGCTGTAATTGGGTATTACTGTATCCTTTTTTCTGCTAGCCTTTAGATTATTAGGATCATTATATGAGCAACCAGTTCACAGAAACTTGTTGTCACACAATAATAGCAAAAAGGGTAAATAAGGGTGATGATTATTAATTTTGAAAAGATGTATTTAGTCCTGTACAAGGTTTTTGGAAAATTTTTGCATAAGGTGATGTTGTATTCTGAGGGCTTGAATGATAGATGGATAAGATTGTTTGCAATTTAAAAACATAGTTGTGCACTTCTCCTGTATGGTACTCAAGTTTGAGCCAGTGAGTTACAGTTTCAAGAGCCAGAGATTAAAAAAAATAACAAGGTCAACTAAGACTAAATGAAATTGCTACTGTGATGTGCTGGCTTGCATTTTGAGAAGACAGTTACTTCAGTAACTGTAGACTTCAGGAGTGCAACCACTGATCTGTCTCATAGTATACTATCTCTGACAGAAAAAAATTTTGTGTTGAGAATTTATTCTGGACACAAATTATTCAAGCGAATAAGTTTTCCTTTTTCCATAAATTGGATCAGAAATACTGAGATAACCTTTGTTTTTTTTTTGTGAAGGAAAATATGTTTAATAACTGCTTTTCAGCTTAATTTGATAAAGCCTATTTTGCTAGATCTTATTGCATAAGAAGGAAATGTATTTTTCAATCGTAAAGGATCATTGATATTAAATCAATTGAAAATTTCATTTTGTTGTTTTCCTTGTGTGGAGTCTTTCAATTAGGAGGCTGACCGTTGGTAAAGTGAATGTCAAACGAGTGAGTCACATTTCCTTTATTGCTGTAACAAACGATTACTTTAACATGAAAGCTCATTTAGATCTAAAGTTTTTTCGTGGTCTTCAATCTGTTGGAGCCTTAAGTCATCCGGGAAAATGGCTGAGAAAGCCATATACCCAACTCCTGCCCCAGCAACCACTGCAACCCCAAGCCAAACGTTATACGTCATCACTATTAACATCAGCACATATCCCACCAGCACTTGGAGTGTGTGAAGAAACGCCTGTAATGTGTGGATTTTAATTCTCCATCTTTGGCTGCAAAGAGAAAACAAGTAATGAAGGTCACTGACGTGAATCAAACGCTCGTAATTTTTAGGATTCGATGATTTTATCTCAGGAGAGGTACGTGAGGGTGTCGCCACGGGGGACATGATAGTAGCATGAGGAAATGTCAACAACGGCGCGCGTCCTGTTTCATTTGCGCAATCGGCCAGGTTCAGTCTTGTGTGCTAATTAAATTGTCTGTTCTTGTTTTATGTATTTGTATTTATTTTCAATGAAGAACAGACAAACAAAGTTTTGATGACAAGTGATCAAGAAAGAAACTCATGCTCACCTCCTGTTTGGGAATCCAACAAATAGTCGTTGTAGGGTTTCTTTATTGCTGCAGGCGTCTTCAGTATCTAGTACATCTAAACTTGTTGACGTTGAATGACAGATGTCCTTGAATAAGAGACGGAGAGGTCTACAAACTAGCCATTGCCTGAATATTTTGAGGCCCTCGTATAGAGCAGTAATTAGAAATGTGATGAAAAAAGCTCCGATAAGAACTGAAATAGAAAGGTTAAAATCTCGTTAACAAGAAAAAACTGTCGAAGACAATATTTCCTGAAACTCTGTTTGCGCAGAAATAATGAACAAGGTTTTGCACTCAAAAAAAATACCTGGTTTCAGCCGGAATTTTTTTCGGTGCGTGGCACTCAGTGAAAGTTCGTTTGTTTACCTGTTCAAGAACTGACTATTTTATGTGATTGTTGGCAGTATTTGCGATTGGCCAGCTCTGATCTTTTATGGGTCAGTTTGTCACGTGTCGTCAAACATCTCGTGGTCCAAAGATCAAACAAAATTATCCTATCTTTACGGTTTGAGAGGTCAACCACTGAAACATTAGTAAGAAAGACTGGGTACAAGACTGTCATACCTTCTATTGAATTAAGCTTCCAGTCTTGAAATAAGAGAGTTCCTTCGGTCCTCAAATGAAACGCATTATCCTAAAAGAAGTGATTGGAAAAAATGTTAAATTGATGATTGAACAAGTGATCGCCTACAGCCTGTTTGCCTCAAACTCATCCTAAACTCATAACGTCTTTGAAAGATCGCTTTTTTGGAAGATTGCAGGCCAATTCGTAGAGAACAATTTCATCCCCGGGGGTCTTTTCCCATCAAATCATTCGTAGGAAAAAACATCCTAGGAACGACCTTAGTCAGAGCATAGTAACTATGGTCAGAGTAGAAATTTTTATGGTGCGATAACTGTAAACGCGACATCAGTTAGCAAGAGCTCGAGTTGCTTGGAAGTCTGACAGGCCATCAAAACGCGCGTTTGTTGTGGGGAAAGAGGAGGAAACTATGGAGAATAGATGGAGCGATGTTTTGCCTGTGAAACATTGGAAGCTTTTACCAGAAAGCAGTGTTAGTGGCAGTTTCATCAAAAATGTTCCCGTCACTATGCCATGCAGCAACCTCTTAGCTTATCTTTACTTGTGATGTTTGTATTTTTATACTATTTTTTTCATTTGTTCATAAGATTTAGGTAGAAACAGAGCGTGTATCCTAGATAATAGTGGCCAGAGAGAGAAGAGATTGTTACCGACGTTATGGCTGTTATTAAGATAAAGACGGTATTTTAAAATCATTTCTGCCTATTGAAGCCAGAAAAAGGGATAGGCAACTGTCTTCATGGCAACGCTCCTTAAGGGCAAATGCGGGTTTGTTTTGATAACACCCTCTTTTCTGTCAAACAATCTAACTAAATTACCATTTGAAGAGATGTTACCATTGTTTCCCTATTTCTAATCTCTTTTGCAATTTGCATACTAGAGAATTATTTGTGCTAATAGCACCTTTCAGATAATTTTTTTTTTTTTGCAATACTGTTAAAAAAAACATACAACTGAAAACTTTTTTTATCCTTTAAATCGCGAAGACTGAGCTATTTTTGGACTACTCCATGGCAGAAGAGGCCGTTTTTCTTTCTAATGGTTCCTCTATACTGACTCTGACGCAAGTTCATTTCTGTAGTTGTCTGTCTTACGTTTTAATCGGCAAAATATGGGAACCGAGTTAGACAATAATACTGCTGCCTAACAGTAATATTTTTCCTGACCGAAAAGATATATGAGAACATTGTTATCTTAATCTCTCTTTCTCTTTCCTGTTGTTTGCGAGAACAGCGGTTTTAGTATGCCTCATCATTGCGCCTGCATAAATCAAACAAAAGCCGACTATATATCGGCAGGGTAAAATTCGTCGTTTTATCAAAGCCTGCTAAGAAGAAAATTAATTAAACTTCGTTTTATAACTTGATTCGTAAAATTTTTGCTCGAGATTTTGCACTGAGCCATGTAATAAATAAGAATAAACCTGTTATTACTTCCCGAAAAGAAAAATATTACAATATCAGTTTAGCGTTGATGAAAACAAAAATTCGTAATTGCGTGAATTCGCTGTCTCATACACTCTTCGTAGGAGTACTGAACTGAACGAGTTTTGATTCCCGAAAATATTCGAAATTTAAGCTCGATTGTTATCCATATTAAGAAATTATTAGATCATGTTGAAGATTCCCACACTATGCGACAAAAGAAAATATACGTCGGCATAAATCGAAACTGCCCGCAAGGTCTAACTTTGTTTAAATTAAAACCAGTAGGTATATATTCGATCATACGATTTCGGTACTTACCTGCATTTTACGCTAATACGATAACGAGCAGATTTCTCCTTGGTGACCCGCTAGTTCTTAGTGGGAAATAATGACATTTAGCCACGACGTGAAGATACGTCTCAGTTCGTGCTAACGAAATCTAAACAGAGCAATGGCAAAAGCGGAATATTTCACACTGGTAACAGGTGTAAGAACAAAACACGGAAAACCATGACAGCTGACACACAAAAAAATTTCGATGTCGAGAAACTTAGTTATCAATCAAAGGCAAAGGCGTCAGTCAAAGCAAAGACTCGGCTTTGTTCAGTCTCTAACCAGCGAAAGACTTTCATATGTCTTTTGTATAAACCGATAAAAGACCAGCGCGATTAGTCTGCCAAAAGTACGGGAAGTTTGAAGGGTTCAGGAATATATTCGAAAATTCGCTTCTAAGAGAGGATTAAGAAACTCGACTTCTCATCGGCCCCTTGTTCAAAACGAAAAGAATTCCTTGAAGTTCCATTTGTATGGAGTATTTCAAGTAGAAAAGAAAAAGAAGAAGAAGAAAAAAAAAATACAAGGGTCAGGCTGTGAGGGGACGGTAGAGCCGCTAGATCCCGGGGCGGGGGCCTAAATAAATACATGGCGTTGCGTGACATCCCAGGACACTGATGGTAACCGCAAGGTATTGTGGTTAGTATAGTTGAGCAAGATATGCTTGACGTTTAGAACCCTTAGCGAGAACCTGAAAACGTTAAAAATAATGTCCTCTTTTGTAAGGCAACTTTTTAGGGCACCACTCGTCACACGATGTAGACTTTTAAGCCCGATGTCGACGGTATCCAAAGCTGCAAATGCCGTAGCTTCCAGTTTTCTTGTCCAGAAACTCGAGAAGAAAGTCAAATGTGGTATGCTACATGTAACATGGAATAACAACTCCGTGAATCGCTATCCTTTTACGTACCTCCGCGATAACTGCCAGTGTTCAGAGTGCTTCCACGAATCTGCTTTCCAGCGATCATTTGACACTGTGGGCAAGTTAGATCCGAATGTTTCGCCGGAGGACTACAACGTCATATCAGAAGGAAAAGAGATAGTCATTGCATGGCCCGATGGACACGTCAGTGTGTTTGACTCAGACTGGCTGCACTCTCGTCGACTGAACGATGCGAAGGATGATCCGAGCAGTGAAATGTCCTCTACTCTTAACAGAGAAGGGGTAGAATTTTGGAATGCTGAAACTCTTCAAGGAAATGTTCCAAAGCTCGATTTTCAGGAGCTCATGGAGGATGATGGTGCACTTCTAGATTGGATAAAAAATTTGCACATTGTAGGTATTGCTTTGGTGATCAACACTCCCTTGGAGGTGGGACAAGCAGAAAAACTATGTGATAGGGTTGGATATTATAAGACCACTCACTATGGGTATGTAAATACTATTATTTGTTATTTTTTTTCCTGCGGTACGATCCAGCATCTACATGTAGAGTAGCGGAGTCTCAATGTTTCTTCAAATTATGTTTAGAGAAAGAATATAGAGGTTTGATGTAATGCTGTGTTACAGGGAGTTAATATTTTAGTTGGTGTAGATTTGATGGATCAATTTAGCGCGTTGACTGCACTGTATAGTTTTTAGTGTACCACCAGTGGTTCTATTTTTTGTACTTAATTATGCAATTAAGGTTTTGAATGCTTCTATTTAAACAATAGAGTGTTTCTTTCGAGGAACTATCGGCCGATAGTTGCCCCGTGGAAATTTGATGTTCTTAAAACAAATATGCTAGTTTTCTCATTGGCCCCTTGCTAGTTTTAAGAACATCAAATTTGCTAGTTGGTTTTAAGAACATCAAATTTCCAAGGGGCAACTATCAGACCAATTGTTCCGAGAAATAAACAATCTATTGTTTTTATTGCTCGCCACTAAATTTTCTTCTGTGCCTACAGCTTGTCACAAATGTCAATAATTCGCAACCGTACATTGGCTAAATACATTATACCTGTCAGAATTGAAAAGTCAGTTTTTCCGATCTGCCTAACTTTGCGACCGTCAAACTATTCAAAACTTTTCACGGATGAGTACTATCAATCCAGGTATTTTCCACGGACAGGCAACATCCTTCCAGGTATTTTCTGCGGGCAGGCACTATGGGCTGATAGTGTCTCTCCATGGATGAACACTATTGCATCACATGATTGATTTAAACCAATAAGAACCGGAGAAAATTTAGTGGTGAACTATAATAAGTATTAAGTCATTTGTCCTTGGTCTAGGATGAGATGCCACCTTTTTTTTTTGCTCTTCAGCTAGAAATGGGAAGTTGAGACAGAGGGAATGTTACATTCATTTTGCACACCACATGTCTCTGGAATTCATTCTCAAAGCACACACTTTTTTCCCATACCAAGGTGTAATATGCAGTCTTAACCCCTTAGCTCCTATGAATGATCAAGAAAGAATTTCTCATTACCATGGCAATACAATTGCAAGCAGACTAGTGATGTGAATATAGAAAAATATAATTCAGGGGATTATTGGTTGATCCAATATCAAATTCTCTCAAGTAACATCATACTAATCCTAAAGAAGAGGGTAAGGAGAATTATGAATGAGATCTTTGGAGTTAAAGGATTAACTTTTAAGACTCATAATGTGACCCATCCAGTTTAGATCACTGGTTTTCATTGTTAAAACTTTTCTTGACTCTTGTCAGCTATAGAGGAGGTTCAATTCTGTAGACATCAAGACTAACTTTTCTTTTTTACTTGCAGGCATTATTTTGATGTGAAAACGAAATATGAAGCAAATAACTTAGCATATACTTCAAACTTCTTGCCACTGCATATCGACCTGCCGTTCTATGATTATATACCAGGGGTAAGTGATTTCAGGTTGTTCATGAAGGTTTGGAACCTTGGGAACCCTTAGATGATATCTGTTTTAGCTACTGGTTCATTATTTTGAATCTGAGTTACAGCATTTGTTGACCAAGAGAAAATAGAAGTGGTTAGTTTCCTGGTTTGTAAGAAGGATTGGCTGTGAGAGAAGGTTGAGGGTACAGGAATGCAGTCTGATCTGAAAGAGATGCATGGGAGATAGTGTAAAGCTAATGATCATTTATTACTCAGTCATCTTTGATACTTCTGAGATGTTGGACTGCATTCAAGTCCTTTCATCTTGAAGGATGTCTTTCTGGCATTTGGACATGGCCCTGTGAAAATTCATGGTCTCCACTCTTTCTTCACGTCTTTCTGCCTTATTGTTGTTTTTTCTCCTGTGGGGGTTGATTTAATCATGGCTTCGTGCAACTGTTGGTTGACTGCAGTTAGTTTGTTTCAATTGAGTTTACAGAGGTGGGGAGGGGGGAAGTTCTCCCCTACACGTGTTGTGTGAAGACATTGCTCTGACAAATACTATCCAATGAAATTGTAAAATGATATTGTCTACCTGTCCCATGGGAAATGACCTGTTTTTGTTTTCTTGATTAATTTGTAGAAGAGGGTCTTTTGCTGGATTTGTCTGAAAGCTACAGCACATGCCTTTTTCCAGCAGGTGGGGCTAAAGTACAGGTTCCTAGGGTCACATGTGTAAGTCATCTGACTTGATCTTTGTCCTGTGCTTCCCTTCCCCCTGCCCTCGCCAGACCTTATTTCATCTGAAACATGTCCAAAATATATGATTCGTGGCTATTACTACCGAGGTGATGTAAATTTAAGAGCAAGAACCCCTCTATTTGAGTCCCTACAGACGCTGCCTATTTTTTAAGTAATGTTCCCTGTTTTAGGTTCAGATGTTGCACTGCATTGAGCAAGCCACTGGTACAGGCGGAGCAAACCAGTTTGTAGATGGCTTCTTCGTTTCACAGGAGCTTCAAAAGAAAGATCGCAAAAAATTTGATATCCTGACAAAGGCGCGAATCCAGTTTGTTGACATTGGAAAGGATATGTTTGGGGATTTTCACTACAAATTTGCTCGACACACGATTGAGTAAGTCAGTTGCTACTCAGAAACATTATTGTAGATCAAGTTATATTTGACTGTCAAAAGTAAGTGCAGAAACGTTTTTGGTTCGCTTTTCTATTCCTTGTGAGTGGTCTACAGATGGGGAGCCACGTTCTCACCCTTTCAGATGCAAAGCTAAAACAATTTGCGACTTGTTCCCTCGCGTTTTTTAACGCTTTACAATAGATAGCTTGCCTTTCGTTTACACAGCTCGTTATGATCTCAGTAGACTCTGCGTGATACGTTAACTCGACAATCCAGGGGTGGAGTCTACAGTGCGCTTTTCGAGTGACTTTCGAAAAACCAAAAGCAAAGAAAAATAACCAAACTGCTTAACTGTTTCGTTCCTGATTGGTTTAGAAAGTGGAGCGAATTTTCTGGACCAATCATAGAGCGCTGTAAGGCGCGGGAAAACGCGGACGACTAAGTCGTGATTGGTTTAGGTTTCCTCCTGATTGGTTGAGAAAGTGGAGCAAATTTTCTGGACCAATCACACCGAGGTAAAGCGCGGAAAAACGCGTGTAACATACGTACCGGTAACATTACTCAATGGCTATCCGAACCATGTACATTTATTGCTTGACCAGTGGTTTCTATAACAAACTTAAATGACACAAAATCCAACTACCGAAAATAAATGACATAAACGAAATAATAAACGAAATAAACGCGGCGAAATGAAAACGAAAAACACATCTGACGGTTTGGATCTTGAAAGAACGCGAGACGCAGCTTAAAGACATACAACACCAAATTACGTAACATAACGAAGCTTCACGCTCGAACACTACAATGTATATGTTGACGCGAGGGAACTGAACCCCACCACATGAACAGACCGCTGGCCCCAAAATTTGTTGTAACAACGCGGACGACCAAGTCGTGATTGGTTGAGAAAGTGGAGCGAATTTCCTGGACTAATCACAGTGTGAAACACTAAAAACACTAATGTGGCCTTGAATTACTGTAAAATATTGTAGAAGTCCGAGCTTTCGCCGCTCAACGGCATCATCGGTGACTTCAAAGATTAATCACAGAGTGAAGTAAAGCAAAACCAGTACAATCCCAAATTACTTTCGTCAAACAGTTAAAAATTGCTCTATGGCCAATCGATTTTACCTGACAACATTTAAGACCTGATTGCTTTAATGTCGCCCTTTTGTCACAGGTTGGACAAGAACGGCCAAATTGTACGTTTTGCTTACAACAACCACGTGCGAGACTCTGTAGTGCTCAACTCCACCCCTGAGGAGACTGTTCAGCTTTACGAAGCTTATCTTACTCTGGGCAAGATGTTAAGGGACCCGGCCAATCAAATGGAGCACAAAATGGTCCCTGGGGATATGATCACCTTCAACAACAGTCGTGTGTTGCATGGGAGATCAGCTTTTACTGTCAAAGGGGGACAAAGTCGGCACCTTCATGGCGTCTACCTGGATTGGGATATCATGTACTCTCGTATGAGAGTGCTGGCGAAAAAGCTGAATGTTCCGCTTTTGTACTAAAGCGTACTACATCGTTCTGGAGGTGAAACAAACAAAAAGGGCTTTGGAAACCTGGTCGAGGTGAACTAAAACAGTATTAAGCCATTATACGACCCTTTCCGATACAAAGAAAAAAATCATTTTGATTATTTACGGTATTTTTAGCAAAAAAATTATATTTTGATATTAATTGTTTTTCGGGAATATATTCTTCAACATACATCAGGCGTGAGTGGCTTTAGAATGGGGATAAAACGCACCTCGATATTGTTAGAAGTTTTTCCAACACTCTTCAGTAGTCGATACTTTCTTTTTTTCTTCACCTTAAACTTAACACAACTTACTGCCTTGGGGTGTAGTTTAGATCTGAGTGAAATATTGGTCACCAGTTTATAATGGTGACACTTACTGGGCTCTCAATCCACATCCATCGTCATCGTTTCTCAACTTAGCTAGCGAATCAGGTTAAATTACGTAAAACAGATTCCGCATACTATGTATGTTCCTTCGTAATATTTACTTTTTAAAAAACTATTTCCTACATCAAATTGTTTACTCTTGCGGCGAAGGTCGGGCAAAACGAAAACAAGGTTGGTGATGTAAAAATTATAGAATACCTATGGAAAGAATAAATATCACATTTAAAGAGATAGCTACAGAGAAAATAGTTAAGAAGATTGTTACATAACTAAAATAAACAGAGAATTTGGAGAAGAAAGGGCGCGCCCAAGGTACAATAAGTGGAGTTACTGAGCGGTGCCTAAACTCCCATAGAAGCCTCCCATATTAGCCTCTCAGGAGAGCTTGGGCCACCGTGATGTGCTTAGCGACCTTCGGCATGCACTACAATCTGGAACTGGAACACCAGAACACTCCTGAACACGTAAATGTTAACTTTTTAAAGTGAAAGTGTCCACGCTCTCTCGTAAGAGGACAACCGCGCAGGATAATTGATACATGGCGATAAAATTTTTCTTGAATTTGCAAATGATCAAAAATATGACTACTGACAGAGCAACAGAACACTGTCAAATTTTCGTTTGTCCGCGAAGAAGCAAGCTGTCTATCCGTTTGACATAAACGAGAGTCGACGTTACCCTCTCTTCAGAAAGCGGACATCTACCTAATTTTCCTCTGGTGTCCGCATATGAGAATAATTTCCGTAGGCGATTGTTCTACAAATGGACACTTTTTCTTATTCCTAAGGGCGTCCGCTTACGAGAGAGTCGACTGTATTTCTACGTTGGGAGCTGCAAGTTATCAAAAAGTCCCTCATTTCCCCCAGAGCACCCACAGCGAGGTTACTGGTCAGGGGAAATCCTGATTGCAGATTTGATACATGAAGTGAAAGGATTAAGCTGCACGCAAATTGAGTTTTAATATCCTACATCCTATTGTCATTATTGCTATAATGTTCTAACTTATTGATGTGGTGTTCCAGCTTGTTCCGGGGTTCCAACATGTTCCGGTGTTCCTATATGTTCCAGCGTTCTAGCGTTTTCTGGTGTTTTGATTCTGATCGTTAATTGATGCGTGACATTTAAGTTATAATGCTCAGCTCTCTTGTTCGGGTGAAAGCAGCGCACGAAACGTTTTCTTTCACGAGGCTACTTTTTTGGGCGCCATTCGTCGCTACGTGTATAGATTCTTAGGCCCGATGACGGTGGCAGCTAGTTCCTGCTTGTTCCGGAGTTCCTACTAGTTCCGGTGTTCTTGCATGTTCGAGTGTTACCTAGTGTTTTGATTCTGGTCCCGATTGTTCGAAGGATGGATAACGCTATACGCTGGATAAATCTCTATCCGGTGGATAGCGCAGTACGTTTTGGTAACATTTATCCGCTGGATAGCGATTTATCCGTTGGATAGAGTTATCCGCCCTCTGAACAACCGAAGCCTGATCGTTAAGTGATGCGTGAAATTTAAGTTATGATGTTCTGCTCTCCTGTTTGGGTCAGACCAGCGCACGAAACATGTCTTCTTTAATGAGGCAACTTTTTAGGGCGCCATTCGTCGCACGACATAGATTCTTAAGCCCGTTGTCGGCGGCTGCTAAAACTAAAGCTAGAGATGTCTCAGTTTCAGCCGCAGCGTCCAGATTTCTTGCCCAGAAACTCGAGAAGATTACACTCAACGTGGAATGACAACTCTGTGAATCGCTATCCTTTTGCGTACATCCGTGATAACTGCCAATGTTCAGAGTGCTTCCACGAATACTTACACACATACATGAGCACTCTGGCATGGCTTAGACGATACCACAAATGTGGGATCGTTCGGGGTAACCATATCGGTTCTCCCCTATACTAGCATCAGCACTACACTGATGAGGCCCAGAAGGCCGAAACGGTACCTTCTGCAGTTAGTGACATGCATATACATTTATTGCGCTCCCTGAAAAGGGCTTTTCAGCAGCAATATTTAAATAACAAATAGACTAACTTGAATATAAATTAAATGAAAATCTTACATGAATTTGCAATAATTTAAAAATCTTAATGCTCTCAATGAAATAAAAGATAAAATCGAATATCAACTATTAAATACAACGTTTCATGATAAATTATTTAAAAGCAGTTCGCATAAATTCTTTTTAAAAGTCCTTAGTGAAGGGGTTAACTTTAGGTCCAAGGTGAGTGAGTTCCAAACTTTTGCTCCCCGAAAGGCAAATGACCTCTGGCCAGTAGAAAGTCGACAGTGTGGCAAGTTGAGATCATTATTATCAACAGATCTAAGTTGTCTATTATGAACTTGTGACCTATATACAAATTTGTCTTTCAAATAGATGGGCACCCGATGGTGTAAGCATTTATGCACCATGNATCTTAATGAAATAAAAGATAAAATTAAATATTAACTATTAAATACAACGTTTCATGATAAATTATTTAAAAGCAGTTCGCATACATTCTTTTTAAAAGTCCTCAGTGAAGGGGTTAACTTTAGGTCCAAGGGGAGTGAGTTCCAAACTTTTGCTCCCCGAAAGGCAAATGACCTCTGGCCAGTAGAAAGTGACCAGTAGAAAGTCGACAGTGTCGCAAGTTGAGATCATTATTATCAACAGATCTAAGTTTTCTATTATGAACTTGTGACCTATATACAAATTTGTCTTTCAAATAAATGGGCACCCGATGGTGTAGGCATTTATGCACCATGACGGCTGTGTTAAATCCCAATTTATCTTCTATACTAAGCCACCTAAGTGATTTAAGGCCCTGAGAGATATGCTCGAACTTTGTCAGGCCGAGTACAATCTTTCCCGATAAGTTCTGAACCATTTGCAGCTTCTTTATATTTGACTTGGATGTGTTTCCCCAAACAGTCAAACAATAAAAGAGTTTACTAAATACAAAAGCATTAATCGTTAAAAGTTGAGTTTTCCGATCTAATAAGTGTTTTATCCTATTTATTTGAACAAGTTTGTGAACACAGCTCGAAACTAGCTTTGATATATGTTCATTGTAATTGAGAGTTTGGTCGGTATAGACACCCAGGTCTCTGGCAACAGAAACAGGTTCAATCTCTCTTCCAAGGATGGTAAAAGATAGACGTGGCAAATTACGCAAGATGTGTGGAACGCCAATAACCAAGAGTTTAGTCTTGTCAGGGTTAATCAATAGTGAATTCTTGCAGCACCGACAGGATATTTCCAAAAGGTCTTCATTTAACGCATTGCTTCCGTCAGTAATATCACGAGAGGGAAAAGATAAGAAAACTTTTGTGTCGTCTACGTAACCTGAAGATCTGCAGTGCTTAGGAATCGACAATAAATCGCTAACATACACTGTGAACAGTACAGGACCTAGGATGGAGCCTTGGGGAACCCCGAAATTTAGAGAAAATGGATCAGAAATAGCGTCCTCGATTCTCACGAATAGTCCATTTTACAGTTGTGTGCTTGGTTGCCAAGCCTTTGAATGGGAGTGAGGCTAGAGATGACCTTGCTATGATACAAACCTTGCTGCCTTTCAAATGTAAATCACTTTGTTGTCATGCTAACTAGATACAGGTCTCTATCACAACAAGGTCATCTTTAGCCTCACTCTGAATCAAAGGCTTGGCAACTAAGTTCACAACTGTAAAATGGCCTATTGACTACGTTTTGTCAAGTAACTCTTAAACCAGGTCCAAGCGGTAGTAGAGACGCCGATTTTGTGGAGTTTTTTAAGTAGGCGCTCATGCTGAATGCTGTCAAAATCTTTCGACATATCCAATAAAACAATCAATGAAATTTTCTTCTCATCCATGTTCTTTAAAATGTTATTTGTAAATTGAAGTAGAGCCGTCTCGGTAGAGTGTAATTCACGATTACCGCTTTGAAACTTTGAGAAATCTGCCCTCCAGCGATCATTTGACACTGTAGGTAAGTTAGGTCCAAGTATTTTGCCGGAGAACTACGACGTCAGGTAAGAAGCCTTTGATGCAATAGGTTTAATAACCCTTTAACTCCCATGAATGACCAAGACAGCACTTCTCCTTAGCATATCAATACAACATCGAGGAGACAAATGATGAGAATAAAGAAAAATATCAATGAGAAGATTATTGGACGATCTAATAAATTCTGCAAACTAATATCATAAGAATTGTAAAGCTGACACTAAGGAGAATTATGAATGAAATCTTGGGACTGAAAGGGTTGACAACATTATTTGTTATTTAAGTGTTGAGCGGCTTTGTTAGTTAAGAGATATTTGAAGTGGTAAACAGCACCCCAGTGGTATACAGAATATTCTCGTCAGTAATATAATGAAGCATGCAAATAGGAACAATATCCTGTACCATCTGCAGTATGGTTTTCGAGAAAAGAGGTCTTGCGAGACACAGTTGCTGGAATTTGTTCATGACTTAGCATGTAATATGCAGGGAGGAGGGCAATCGGATGTCTTGATCATGGATTTCTCAAAAGCCTTTGATAAGGTGGCCCACCAACGTTTGATAAGGAAGCTTGACTTCTATGGTGTAAGAGACAAAATAAGGGATTGTATACAGGCTTTCTTAGCAAACCGAACTCACCAAGTTGTCGTTAAAGGCAAATTTTCAGACTCTGCTTAAGTGCAATCTGGTGTCCCTCAAGGATCTGTATTGGGTCCTTGTCTTTTCTTGTTCTACATTAATGATTTGCCAGATAATCTGACTTCTACAGTTCGCCTGTTTGCAGATGACACCTTGCTTTACTTAGCTGTGGAGTCGCAAAGTGGCGCTAATTCTCTGCAGAAGGACCTGCATGAACTTGAAAATTGGGAGAACAAATGGCTTATGGAATTCAACACAAATAAATACCAGGTCCTGCGTGTGTTCCGTAAACGGGATCCACTGAACCATGCATACATTTTTAATGGTAAAGAACTGGAAATGGTTGACTCTGTAAAGTATCTAGGACTAACTATAACTTCGGACCTACGATGGAATCAACATATCTCGAACATTGCAACTAAAGGAAACCAGACTCGAGGCTTCTTGAAAAGAAACCTCCAAATTAACTCTCCAGACCTGAAAGCAATCGCCTACAAGACCTTAGTACGGCCCACTGTGGAATACGCCTCAACTGTTTGGGACCCTTATACCAAACAAAATAGGGATAGAGTAGAAATGGTACAACGTAGGGCAGCACGTTATGTCCTTAACAATTATGACAGGTCTGCTAGTGTCACC